GAACTAGATCTTAACTGAGTTCCTAAGCAGCCTCAAACTGGCACACATTTTCTACAGACGCCTCTAATTTCTTAAACGCAGCATGTTATAAATTTTGGTTTTCATTTTATATATATGTACATGTATATATTTATATGCTTCGTTTGTTTATTTATTTTCGCCAAGCTGAAATTTTTATGTGACACATGCCTCGTTAATTTTTGGCTATTTCGCGCAATCTTTATGCAATAATTTGCAGAGCAAACAATTTTTGCGAAACCCCCAAAATGCGCTCTTAATATTTTGTCTACGCTAAATATTCGATTATTTTCAGAGGCATGTGTGTGTGTGCGTAAACATTTTGTGGACCACAATGAAATGACATAAACTAGAAATGTCAACAAAGCGTCTAAGTTTTGTTTGTACAAAAACATAATGCATGCAAAAAATAAATCAAAAATACAAAACTAAAAAAATAAAGCATAAATTTTTACAAATTCGAATGCAAATAAATTATAAATTATTTTTTCGAACTGCTGCGAGCAAGCCATATGTTGTAGTTGCTAAATGAAATTGCGTTTATCGCATTAAGCTAAACACACAGTGCAGCAAATTAATACGGTAATCTTGAAAGTAAAAACAAAAAAAAACCACAAATAATGTAGTGAATGTATTTAGCATTAGTATATTTGGCAAGAGCCTCAGCACTTCTCAAGCAACGTCGCCTTGCACTTGGCTTCGCTATGCGCTTGGCCTTAGTTAAACTTTTTCCACCGACAATTACTCGCTTTAAGCTGACAACAGTTTTCGCAGCAAATTTAAAATCTGTTACTTGCTGCTTTACTTTTATACTTTATGCTACCTTTAAGCTATGTCTGTATACACGCCATATGCACCTCATCCTCATCACTCTTTTTTTTTTTTTTCTAATTTTTTGTACCTTTTTTGTCTACAAATATCTATTTCATGCTGCCAACGTCAATAATTGCGGCATAAATCGATTTTAGCGCACTTGCCGGCAATTCATAACACAAGCGCAACTTACTGCATTGTGCCACAAGCCGCAGTGACTGGTTATGAAAGTTTTATGCCACACTTCATATTAATTTCCACCTTCAGACGCTTCAACAAGGCTAACGCACTCCTCGCTGCCACACCTTTTACCATTTTTTCTGGCGCGTTATTTGCTACCTACGCAGGCACATACTCGTAGGTTGTGTGCTCGTCTTTTTAGTATGCTAACAACAACAAAAAGATAATTAAGTAAAAGCGAACTCATTGAGATTTATGTGAAACTAATTTGCGGCCGGCGTAGCTGAGTGAGCGCGTGTGCGTGGCGCTCGTTTGTTGGGTATACGGTCTGTTTCCCAAATTTATCACTACTGCTTTTTTGGTTGTATAACTTAAGCGGCTACTTATACATGAAAACACGTAGAAACTTAAAAAACTGAGTGCTTTGTAAAATTATGTGTTGTTGTGCAAAAAAAAAGATGTGCGCCGGCCAAATTCATACATAAACGCGGCCTCATAACTGTTAAGGTTAAAGAGTGTGAGGGCAATTTTTAGCTGCATAGAAAAATATAGAATGAAAATGGGAAATTAATACGGAAATTCGATTAAAGTGACTGCACTGCTTGGCCAATGAGTTGAATGCACGGATAGTAAAATGCGCAAAAGAAATTTTTTTAGCTTAACTCTTCAAGTCCGGCATTTGGGTATTTACAAAATAAGCGTTACTTAAATTCAAAAAAAAAAAAAGCAATAGAGGTGAAGTCTTTCAAACGCCTTCAGCGCTTTATTTGTAGATTTTCAATAACTAAGGTTAACTTACTAGCAAGCTCTTACTTCTAGCTAATACTTTTAGCAAACCATTTTCGGCAGAACTTAGCTTTTCACACAAACCAATGCTTGTGAAAAATCAACTTATTTTAATTGATAACGGCAGCTTGATATTTTGGCGGCAGTGTAGCAGTCTTCTTGGAGCTCAGCAAACGGTTTCAGCTATTTCCCAGCTAACGTCAAGCTGCATACCATAAAGAGATTGCATAAAATGTATATGAGAATTACATATGAAAGTCATGCAGAAGTTTTGTTCTATTTTTGCCATAAAATTTAAAAAAGACTTGTAAAATTCATTACTTAATTATATTTCCAACGCAAACTTGCAATAATTACGAACAAAATTCTTATGAGTTAAAGTATTGATTTCCACCTGTAAGCGGCCAAATTTTATTTATTTAAATACAAAGTGCAGCTTTTTTCGCTGAATGTAAGCAAATTGCAGGTTGCGTATACGCCACCGTAGCCGCCTTGTACTTCCGCTGGTTTGGCGCTCAACGCCAACTAATTGCCGTCACTAAAAGTAAATATTTCACACATTCCAGACGCATTGCGTGCGCCCATTTCCGTTAGCCAGTGATGCATGCCACAGCAATGCATCGCCGCTGCGGTAAAAGCTATAAATATGCGCTTATGACTAGTTGCTTAGCGCAGTCACCACTGAAAAGGCAAACGTTAACTGACAATAAATGCAAATGCTGCTATTTTATTTTATATTTTTATTATTTCGCTATAGTTATTTATATGTATGACCAGCAGTAGCCGGCTTTTTATTTATTATATATTTTGTACTGTGAATTTGCACGTATGACTAGGCGCTGTGGCACGTGCGAAATGCATTGATTATGTCATGATATTACACATATGCTGTTAGCAGCAACAACAACACATGCTGACTGTACGCGTTTCATGGAAGCAAACTTAGTGATGATGCAGCGTTGTATGTGTGCGTTAGCTGACGACATTATACTGTTAATGGGTTCGTTAAACAACAGCGCATTTGCTTTAAAAAAAATTAACTATATAAGTACGTAGCGGTTGATTGGAGGAAATTACTAAGCAGAGCAGATGGCAGATGAATGAAAAGCTTGGAAATGAATATAGAAATTCCAGCAAGTTGCATTCAATAACGTAGAAATAGCAACTGCGTGCACACGTGCTGGTATACCATATATACATATGTATGTCCCCTCAACTGCGCTTAGTGGCCCACTTAGAAGCTTATCAAATAAGCTGCCTGCATTTGACCCAATTCACGTGAATGCAGCGCGTTGTCAGCAAGCTGTTAGACCTTATTTCTAGTTAAGCGCGCTGCCAGTGTTTCCACTAAAAAATAATTTAATACACAGTCATATATTTTACAATAGCAAACACACTGCTAAAGCGCTTTGCTTTAATTTTACGTCGAAAGATTATAGCTAAGGAATTTTACAACAAAAATTATTACAAAAAAAACACTATTTTTTGAACTTCAGCCAGCAAAGCAATTAATAAAATGCTTGCTTGGCCTCGGCAAAGAAAATTAATTTGATTGCTTCCACGACACCAGGTGGCCGGCGGGTGGCCGTGTGATGGCTGCGAGGTGTAAACAAGCCACTGTGCATATGTGACTGTGTGGTTGTTGCCGCACAATCGCTAACATCAATGCGGCCTTTGACGGCTGTTATCAAAACGAAAATAGTGAAGTGTAACACATACACACACAAGCAGTGATAAATACCTACACACACACACCTATTACATACTGAAACTGATAACTGACATGGTTCATTGACTCATTGAGGCATACTAGCTGACAAGTTTAGAAGGCTTACGTAACAATAGGAGAACAACTTAACGGAAAAATACATAAAATATAAAATATTGGCAGCAACAAAAGCCATTCTAATGTAATAATAAAAATTTGTTATAAAAAAGTTATACATTTTTTTTCTTGTCTCAAAAATTTTAAAATTTTTGTTTTCTTTTATCCTAAAATTTATAAACATTTTTTTCTTGTCTCAAAAAGTTTTTAAAACAGAAAGCAATTCTAATGAATAGTAAAAGTTTGTTATAAAAAAGTTATAAATTTTTTTTTCTATCAAAAATTTATAAAACAGAATTAAATATAGGTGCCAAGCTTATAAATACTGGTGAAAAGTCCGAACTCAAAAGAGATTGATTACACTCTTGCGTTGTTTATTTGTTGTTGGTTTTCGCTGACATCGAGAATGTAAGAAACTCGTATACATGTATAACACTGTGTAGTCACCTAACGGTATCAATTAAATTATCTCTGCGCTATCAATTGATTGGCGCGAGCCTACCTCACAAGATATACGTACTCTTATGCGTTTGAGCTGCCTACTAAGTGAGTATAATTAGGTTGGGTAGGGATTATGAGCATTAACTTTGAAGTACGAAGTACTTACGCGGCACTTGTAGTCAGTTGATGCACTAAATTTAAGAATGTGTGTCATAAAACAGCGTCGATATTTTTGTTTTTTTAATTTAAAAATATTCCAAAACTCGAGAATACGACAATAAACGAAGCTAAACTCTATAACTCCAAAAACGAATGTCAACTCAAAGTACCATCAATCCGTTCTGCTTGAATGTCTTTTGGAACAGGCTAGATAGGCAGAGAACAGAAGATATCTCAAACAAGGCGCTTGACACTCCGTAAAATGCATTAAAAGATAGTACAGCTAGATATGTACATAGTAGAAATACTTACTGATTTATTACTACTTACTAGGACTACATTAAGTAGCCAGACTCAATTAGTTTGTCTTACAGTATCAACTAAAAATATAGCATTTAAAGCAATACTAATCTGTAAAATGCACAAAATCAAAGTTTTATATTTCCACCACATTTATTGTATTGCTTTTTCACCACATAAAGCTAGTGAAGACGCAAACCAATAAAACTGTTACTGAGAATGTTAATGAAATTTATTCTCTGTTATTAACATTCTCTGCTAAAATGCCTGCAATAAACATTTTCACCACACTAAGCTTTTGGCCAGAGAATGTTTTATTAACATTCTCTGCTCTTATTACAGTCTACAAATACTCACCACGTATTTTGTTCATTAATAACGGCGTGTGGTGGAAAAAACCACTGTCAATAACCTGCTGTACTTTTTAGCAAACTGCTTTTGAATGGCAATGCAACTAAAACTCTTTTCGTTCTTCCAGCAACTGAGCAATGCCGAACTCAACATCGACGACACCTTCTACATTGATCAATTTGAGGAAGCACCGGCTGTCAATTCCAAATTGCTGCTGGTGCGCAACGAACGCGACCTTGACAATGAGTCACTGCTAGAGGACGAACTGCAACCGATTGCGGCCGAAGAAGATGCCGACGCCGCCAGCAGTAGCTGGCTCGTGAAGGGCGTGAAACGTGTGCGTCGCGAACTGAGTCGTCTATTTGGCAAAGCGGAAGACAAATCCGCTGCCCATCGTCATCGAGCCAGCGAAGGCACAAAAAATAAGCACGTCAAGCACCATAAGGTGCACGGTGGCGATGACAAAAAGCATCATAACAAACACCAGCTCCATGGCAAACATCGTGCACACCGTTTGCTGCAGCGACAACGGTCGGAGGGCAACGAACACGAAAATTCGGAGCAACAGGGGAAGCAAATGAAGAAACTGGCAAAGAAACACTCGAAACGGCAAAGCGAATACGATGGTCCTGGTTCTGGAGATGGTGACGAAGACTTTGCAGATTCGGAGCTATGTAAGTGCATGTGTTGGTTTCTATTGCATGCAAGTAACTCTAACCTGCCTATGTGTTTTGCTTTCAGGGCGTACGTATTTTATCATTAGAGAACCGTGGATCGATGCTTATGCCAATCAAAGGAGTAACGAGTTTTTGGATACATACCGCCAGTTGGAGATCGCTTTCCGCGAACTATTCCATGCCACGTACAACGATGAAGATTTTGAAATAAATCCAAAATTGAAGTCCATAAGGTGAGCGCACTAACGATCTTAAGGCCATTGCAACCCTGACTATTTTCCTTTTATGTCATAGCCGCAGCAATGATGACTACAAAGTTTACGTACTCGTTGAGCTGGCACTACCGATAGGTAACACTGATTTCAAAAATGTCTTCGAAACGCAAATTGCCAGTTTCCATCGTCTGGGTAGCTTAGGCGTCGAGTCTGATGAACACTTTTTATTCAAGCGTGTTGCCGGTAAGTTCATACTAACGTCTAATGAATATAAGTTGCCCCTCTATTAGTATGGGTTAAATAATATCTATGAAATTTGTAAAAGTTAGTTCTTAATATTGTCCTTTAGTAGTGTATAACACTCAAATCTCTTTTCCGAAACTCCTAATATTACCGTAAACTTCTCTAAACACTGGGAACCTATAATAACTGTTAAATAATCTTTCTCAAGATTTGATCAAAGCAGTTTGGCTATTATTTTTTTTCTTGGAAATAAAAAGACACTCGACAATAATATTTTAGAGAACATTCTATACACCTCATAACGGTTTTGGGGGTAAAAGACAGCAGCATTTTTGGTAAAAGCCATCTTCAAATACACATTTTTTCTTCCCACGATCATCGAATTTATTCACTTAACTTGACTTGAACTTTTAGAATTAGAAGACCCTGAGGGCGAGGCCATTTATTTCCCAGCAAAAGAGTATGATGGTGAAGGCGGTGACGAATTTGCTTCTGCTTACGAATGTGAACCAGAAATCGGATTTAGGTGTGCTGATGGTTCGTCCATTGCTTGTGAAAGTCTGTGTAACAATCAGCTAGATTGCTACAATGGTGACGATGAGGATGAGGTGTTTTGCGAAGAGCGCCGGCAAGGTGAAATTCGTCAGAAAGCTGAAGAAGTAGAGCAAAAGAGGCGTGAACAAGAGGAAGAAGCACGTCGCCAAGCTGAGGAAGAAGACAGAGCAAACAAATTGGCTGAAAAAGAAGAAGAGGAGCGTCGCCTTGCTGAAGAGAGGCGTCAACAAGAAGAAGAAGAGCAACGGCAAGCTGAAGAGAAGCGTCAACAAGAAGAAGACAAGCAACGACAAGCTGAAGAGAAGCGTCAACAAGAAGAAGACGAGCAACGACAAGCTGAAGAAAAGCGTCAACAAGAAGAAGATGAACGTCGTCGCGTACCATATGACCCTTATGGCACATATCCGGATAAAGAAGATAACCTCTTCACACCATATCCAACAGGGGAGGAGAATGATGTGGAATATGAGGAAGAGACGCGTCGTCGTAATGAAGAAGAACGTGCACGTGTCGAACAGGAAGAAGAGGATCGTCGCCTTGCTGAAGAGAGGCGTCAACAAGAAGAAGAAGAGCAACGGCAAGCTGAAGAGAGGCGTCAACAAGAAGAATACGAGCAACGGCAAGCTGAATTGGAACGTCGCCGTGCCGAGGAAAGACAGCAAGAAGAAGAGTATCGACGTGCTGAAGAACAACGCAGACTGGCCGAAGAAGCAGAAGCGCGTCGTCGTTATGACGAAGCATATGAAGCAGAGCAGCGCGCTCGAGAAGACGCAACAGGACGAGGTAGCGTCATAAGGCCGACAGAAGTCCGCATAATAACTATTTACTTTAAACAGAAAATTTTTAGTTTTAAGTGCTTCATTGCTGGACACGGTTTATTAAAGCCACCACTTAGCACCGAAAGTCCAGAACTGACTGCAATGTGGCTGTACAAAATGCTTAATTAACACTGCTCACAACAACTAATCTTAGACGCTTAGTCGTATCTAACTACTGACAAACTAATTCTTAACTAACGGTTAACTAATAAGTAAATGCCAATATATTGGCGTGGCTTACTAAGCGAATTATAAAAATGCGCTTTCGGGTGCTTAGTCGTAGTCAGCTTCGGTTGTATTTCTCACTTTTTCTTCCTCTCTTGCTCTCCAGCTTGGTGCTGCTGGCTGTAATGCAAAGATTTCAATATTAGACCAAGCCTAACCTTAGTTTCAGAGATAACTAACCTACAAGTCATAAAACTAAAATAACTATAATATCTAACGGGAAATTTATATTACTACTGATTTTATCTTGATTCTTTTCACATTGGGTATTACAAATTATTGCTTTGTTGTTTACTTGTTGTATTTCTTTCATTATACGTTCATTTTCTTCTAACATTTGTCCACATTAAACCATATTTTGTAACATTTCAATGCTTTCGTATTTCCATTCCATAATTTTATAGCTAAAAAAGCTGGTTTTAAACGAGTTTCATTAATTTACTTTTCGTAAGACTTTTCAAAATAAAAATCATTATTAGCGCGCTTTAAATTCCTACAAAGTGGTTTACATGAAAGTTGCGTATTATTTTTCACATTGCACACCCTGTGCTCTTTCATATTTCACATTTATCACTTTCTGTTCTCTCACCCGGCAAACGCATTGATCATTTTCCATTTTCTCCTGCTCATTCGTCAGACAGCCATATAGCTCCAGTCTCATGTTGCGTACTCATGCAAGAGCTTCTACATCACCTCGTGATCCTTGTGTCTTTTATAACTAAGCCATATCTGTGTGTTTGTGTTTATATTTTACCCTCTCCATATGTTTTCCACGGTCCTAGCGCTTACTGCCGCTTCACCCTTATGTGTTGGGTCAATTTACGTATGTCCCTGTGATGTGTTTCCTGTTTCTGTACTTATTTGTGTGTCCTCTCTTTCACTGTGCTCGCACGCTCTTTGTACGCTTCGCGCCATTTACAGCGTGTACCGACACAAGTCGGTTAATTGAAAGGTTTCAAATGTTTTATTACCATATTACTATTTCGATTTGATAAATATAGACCCCTACGAAGAACCCGAAGAACCCGAATCGCCAACAGAAGCGCCTGAAGTGTCCGAAACCGACGAGCCGATACGTAATCCCATCTTCGACGAGGGTTCCGGTGATGATGATGGCATTTCAACCGATCGTTCGACAGTCTTTACGGCCGCCGGTTGCCGCGGCGATGCCACATTTACTTGCCAAAAATCTGGTTACCGCATCTGCGACGAACAACGCTGTGACGAACGCGAAGACTGTCCCGACGGTGAGGACGAAAAAGATTGTGGCTTTATATCCGGAGGATTTGATGACCAAGAGGGCAATGTTGGGGGCGGCGATGAGAATGTGGCTGGTAAAGGCGAAGATGATGGAGGCTATGAACATGGTATAGTGTTTAGTGTGACGTCACATCAGCGCATTCAATCAGACTCCAAATTAAATGTATTCCAAAAACCCACCTTAATATATCCCGCAATATACATATATAGCTGTATATATAAGAACAAACCCACTCCTTCCTAACCAAAACCTAAGACATACCTTATGTGTTCCCAACCCCTTACACACACCATTTATATGTACAATATTACTCAAGCTCATCTGTGTTTGTGCCTAGTAGCTGCAGCAAGCCGCTCTAGGGTTGCCAAGTGAATATTGACCTCAATGGTAAATTTGAAAACTTAAGCTGTAAAATTTTCAAAATTAGCCGTTTTGAAATGTTTGCAAAAAGATTTATGCCTAAGCGACAAATATACTGTTGTATATTTTTATTTCGTGAAAGTTTAGACATTTGCAGAAATAACTACTAACCATTGAAAATTTTTATTATTTTATTATCAAGTAACTATTAATTTTTTACTGTAAATATTTTCAAGTAATTTAGTTAATTTTTTTCTCATCAAAATTGTTTACTCAGTTGTATATTTCCATCTCAGTTTAACTGAAGAAATCGTGCTCTAATAACATCATGAATGAAACTACCTATTAACCATGCCTACTAATAAAGAAATTCGTATGCTAATCGTTACTTTAACGAATGCTTGCAGTGTGTTCCGATGACGAGTTCAAATGCGACGGTCAATGTATACCGTTGGAGTATAGGTGCAATGGCAGGGAGGAGTGCGTTGACGCCACCGACGAGCTGGACTGTCCAGTGTCTAACACCGAAGGTAAGTGGCGATACATTACAATTTGTGGCTTTATTTTTATATGCTGAACAGGGTATATTAAGTTTGTCACGAAGTTTGTAACATCCAGAAGGAAACGACGGAGATCCCCCCCATAAAATATATACATAAATGATCAGCATAATGAGCTGAGTTGATTTAGCCATCTCTGTCTATCTGTATATACGCGCAATAGTGACTCAGTTTTTAAACTATCGATATGAAATTTTGCCGTTGTCCTTTTCTAACTAATAAGCTGCTCATTTGTTGGAATGACCGATATCAGATCACTATAGCATATAGCTGTCATACAAACTGAACGATCGGAAACAAGTGCTTGTATGGAAAACTCTTTCATTTGACGAGGTATTTTCACGAAATTCGGCATGAGTTACTGCTTAGGGCAACAATGTATTATACGAAAAAATTGTTTAGTTCGGGTCACTATAGCATATAGTTGCCATACAAACTGAACGATCGAAATGAAGTACTTGCAAGGAACCTTTGTATTTGTGAAGGGTATTACAGCTACGGTACAACCGAAGTTAATGTTTTTTCTTGTTTAAACCATTTTTTATATTTTAAGGTTATTTGATAAATTTTTCAACACATAACCAAACACTTTGAAACGTTGTTTTAATAAGTTCTTCTACATATATTGTATGTATTTTCATACTGATATTTCTTCTATAATCTGTAAGGAAAGAAAACTAAACTAAAAAACTAAAATTCTAATAGAGTCTCAAGTTTAAAAAAAAACCTGCAAATTTTCACTCGGTAAAATAATTAAAATATTTATTCAGTTTATTAGCATATATAATTTTCCAATGAAGAAATTATTTATTGACTTTGCGCACACATTCCTTATAAACTTTACGTAAGTGATTTGCGAAATTAGCTATTGCGAAACACAAAATTCTTTCGACATTTGTGGACTTTACATTTCCCCAAAATATTTCTAACGAGCTGCTGCTCGCGCCAAACTGTGTCCAATGTATGCCAAATCACACATGCTTTTTGTATAAGAATCAATAAATTACACAATTCGCTAAGCAAACTGTTATATTATATAACGTTATATTACGATACATTCCGAAAACCTATTTTTGAAATACACAAACACAAAGCGAGCGCAATATGCAATACGAGCAAGTTTTCATTTAAATGAATTGCTGAAAAAAGCGCAAATAAATTGCTGCACTGGAAAAAGTGTAACACCGAATCATAAATAATTGTGCACACACAGCTGCAACAGCAACAAAGGCAACTAACATGACAACCTATATGCAGCGTTTTGTGCTGCTGAAAACAATTTGTGGCAGCTTAAAATTACGCACTACACACCGAGGTTGCAGCGGCAGCATGCTGCCCGGCTTGGTGTCGCAATCGCCCACTGTGAGCAGGATTAAGCGCCAGCCGTGGTGTTTGTGCATCATGTGTGTGGGCGTGTTGTTAGCAGTGTGCTTTGTTGTTTTACACTTGGCTGCTGAATTGAGTGCTCTTGTTTGTTGACACTCACTTTCATTTGTTGCGAGCGAGCGTTGCTGGCGCTGTGGGTGGATTTGTAAACTTTTCTCTAGATTTATCTAACTACGAAAGCGTCTATGTCAAAAAAGTTGTTGAAAGTACTAAGCAAAAGTGTGAGTTGATTAAAACTGTATGTGTGACAGGACTTAAATGCTGAATGCAGCATGCCAAAGTCGCAAAGAACGCATTGTTATGCTTAAAATACACATGCCATGGCAAAATTGAAACATAACTAACGAACGCTAAAGTGACGTCAGCAAAAAAGCTGTTATTGCTTGCAGCTTTGACACCGCTCAAGGCACAAGACTTCGTGTCTTGCTTTAGAGTCAACTATGCTAGAAGCTGCGCGGTTGCAGCTACGACTAAGCGTGCTTACATTTGAGTCGCATTTGCTGAGAAATTATAATAATAGACTACTCAATATCGACTCTTTCTTTTTTTGGTGTTGCCGCAAGCTCAGATATTTATTATAGCGGTAATGCACAAAATAGTCGCGTGGTGATCTTTGGTTACCCAATCTTATGATGTAGACAAGAAGCTGCGATTATGATGAAAAGCAGACTTGAACGTCGGCTTTCCATTAGCGCCTTACCAATTAGTGGTTGTGCTCTTACGAGTATTCTCGAACCGTTTGCAGTTACCCTAACTGCTCTAAACAGAATTACGTACACAACGCTTGGATGTGCGTTTCATTAAAATTTGCGTTCATTTGTTTACCCTCATCCATAAGCATTTAAATTTATGCGGCAGCAAGTCAATTTTTTTTGTCGGTTTTTTTAGCGCTTTTCAACAATTTTGTTAACAACTGCGCATTACAACTTTATTGCACTAAAGTATTTTGTTTTGATTAAATTTTCGTTGCAGCACAATTTTAGACAACAAATTTACACTTTCGCTAGACACGAAATCATCTTGCCTCCTTTTTGCGCGCTAAAGCCAAACACTCCCGGCGGACAAATTGACACAAACACAGCGCAAAAAACATGCACACATACGTGTGCTCGTTGAGGGTGTGCCTATTTACAAGCAGCACACATTTGTGCGGTGAATATAAATGTGCAACATATGTAATAAATTTTGTGGCAAGTGCACAAATCCGCAATGGATATATTTGCGAAATTCCAACACACGCTTTTTTAACGCGAAGTGCAAACAAAATTCTCATCGAACGTATTTCTATGAAGTGGCAAAAAGCACTTGCCACTTGCAACAATAAATGCGAATTTATTACTGCATTATAGCGAATTCTAATTGATTTTGCGTACTTTCGTTGTTTGTATTAGTTTTTGCTGATTTTGTGGCATTAAAAGCGAAATTAAAAAATACACATTTTCTTCGCTTTCCAACACTGGGCGCGCATTTAACGCTATGCTTGAACTTAATGCATTTCATGCGCGGCAATTACGCGCAATAAATTTGTGTATTATTGGCAGCTGCCGCAACAGGGTAATGCAGCAGCATAATTTTTAGTGTTGCAAGCACTTTTTTTACCGCAATTATATTCTTACAGTTAACTTGAGCTATTTGCCTACGCATATTGCTTGCTAACGTTCACGCGTTCATGCAACAGTTGTTTTGCGCTCACCAGTTGGCCGCCGTTCACAACGCTGTACACCTGTGTGGCATGCAGCACGTGCTGGTAACTTTGCGCTAAATGGCGTTTGTTTTGTTTACATCGAACTACGCAGCGCGTCGCAGTCAGCGTGCAGTTGGCGGGCGGCCTTCAGCCGGCAACACTGCTACCACTTCCGGCGTTGCAGGCGCGCACGCTTAACAGCGCTGTTGTGTTGGCTGTTAAGTCGCTGTAAAGGTCAACGTCGCAGTCGCCGCAGCCAGCCACCAACAGCACTCACGCTGCTGCCACTGCTTCAGCAAACAGCCGCAAACAATTGTAAAGCGCTGGCTTCGGCTGTCAACACTAATGCGCTTCGGCTCGCCACGAGTGCTTGGGCGCGCTCTAGTGTGACGCGTTTCATTGCCGCGTGTCGTGCTGTGTGTGCCTTGTTGCTGCGCTACGATTTCGTTCGGCTTGCTGCGCGGTTGGTGCTGGCGTCGCAGTCGTTGCACAGCGTTGACTTTTCCGGATCAACACGAACGCCTCGTAACGACGTGGAAATTTCAAATACTTCAGTCCAACTGCAGACGTGAGCTCGTGCGAAAGCTTTGTGCGCTGAAAACACTTTGGTGTCGGCTATTCTGACTACTTTCTATAAAAGCAAAGGAAACTCTTTAGAGTGGTTGACGCGTGTGTTTCAAAACATAAACCAAAAATACTAACGTACTAGAAAAAAATAAAAGGTTTAGAAACGCAGTGCTGCGGTAGTGTTTGCTTACATTTAATTTTTAAAACAATCGCAAGGCAGCGGGCGTAAAAACAAATTCATGCGACAGCTAATGCAAAACCAATTCAAAACGCTTTTCAGTGACGCTCACTAAATGACAGGCGAACACTCGTGTTTCCGGCGTATTGCTGCTGGACTGCACAAAAGGACTTGGAAGCGAGCGAAACGTACTTTTGTGATTGCCCAAGAGAACATTAAGCACTTTTACTCAATCAAACTGCTTGCAACGCCATGAGAAATAATAAATGAAAGCGTTGCATTGTCCTTAAATGCGAGGAAATGCGAATTTGAATTTAACGTCGCTTGCTGCCGTGACAGCGCTGTTGCACTCAAGTGTTGCAAGTGTTTGTGTGCTTCATTATACATACGTATATACAGGTGTAGGAGCGTGTGTGGCAGACGCTCTTTTCTTTTACGTTTAAAAATAAAATACAATTTAAATAGTTTACTCAGAGGGGTGTGGCCGTGTGTGGGCGTGTAGTTGAGTTAAATGTCGGTAATTTCTAGATCGTACGCAATTTAAAGTCCTTTTGCTAATTTATGTGCTGTGAATGATATTAATTTTAATGTGCTCTGCGTTTAGGCTTTTCTGTGGCTGTGCAACACAGCTGCCGGCACCATTTGCACTTTATAGGTGAAATTTTAACGCTATTTTTTTTAAATATTATTATATACATATATATTTTCTTATTTGAACTTTTTAAAATAACTTTTTATGTGCTTTTAGCTTTCTGCTGCAAAGAAAGCTGCATAATAAAAAAAAATTTAAATTATATGCTTTTCTTAATATGTGAAACATTTTTAAGACAATCTATATATTAATTTTTTTTTTCAAATGTTATAATTGTTTGGAACATAACTTTGTTAAAAAAACTATAAAAAAAATACATTTTAATATTAATCAATTTCTGTCCGCTCGCTCTCTATTTTGAAATTTTTTTTTTCAACAGTTATAAAAGTTTTGGACATATCGTTGTTACAACACAAAAAAAAAAATTTAAATATTAATAATTCGCTTTCTTTGTTTTCTGAGTTGCCTTCTAAAGCAAATCCAATGCTTCGTTTTGAATTATTTTTTACATCAAAATTTTCTTCGATAAATTAAAGCTTAAAATTTAAAAATACTAATTCGAT